TTACATCGAATTGCGTTAACTTGGTCTTCGCCTGGACCGTCGTTAAGTGGTCGTTAATGGTCGACGTAAGATCGTCGTAAAATGTACGACGCAAAAATCGTCGTAAATCAATCGTAAAGTATTTAATCATTTCGTCGTAAAATCGTCGTAAAGCACGAACGTATAATCGTCGTACATTTTGGTCGTAAATTCGTCGTAATATTTACGACGAATGTACGACGGTTTTAAATAAAGATATTACGACGATTATACGACATTTAATATAATTGAAAATTAAAAAAAAAATTTAATTCGAATTAAAATTTAAATTAAATAATTTACAATTTAAAATTTATTAAAAATTGAAATTAAAATTTCAAATTAAAATTAATTGTAATTTACATAAAAACCCTACAGCTCTAAATCTAAATCTAAATCTATATCGTCGATCCCGTCATCGGCTTCCTCCCCATCGTCCTGGACGTGTTCCTTGCCGGGTCTTCGGTTTGATGCTTCCGCCGGCGCCTGATCTCCGGTCTAGGAGGCTCTACCCCGAGAGATCGGAACATCTCCTCGTCCGTCTGCACCGGCGGTTGCGTCCTAGTAGATGACCCGGCGGCAGACGATCCGACAACCCCATCAGCCCGCAGCTTCTCCAACTGCGCCATGAGCACCGGGTTGTCGGCTCCCATGATCTCGAAGAGACCGTAGAGCTGGTCGATCCTCGTCTCGTAACGGGTCCGCATCTGATCGATCTCCTGGCGGATAACCGGATCCGGGACCCGGACGTGACCAGTCGCCGTAGCTCTCGGGGTATCACAAATGGACCCCATTCCTAATACCCGCCCCTTTTTCTTTGGGGCAACCTACAAATATTTAAAAACATTATGGTTAGAAATTCAATTTAAAACTAAAGTTATATTAATTAAATATAGTAATTAAATTTACCTCTTCGAAAATCTGGTCCATCTCCGCTACCGTCAGCGCCGGGGTCAATTGGACCGAACTACCTCCGGGAGACGTTTGACGCGCCTGCTGAGTCAGCTGCGTCTGTCGCTCCTCGATCGCCGCACAGGCGGCATTGTAGATCTCCTCCGCCCGAGGATCCGTGAATTCGCCGTTCCGCTTCTTATGCGTCTCGGCGAAAACCTTTGTCATCGGAGGAAGTTCTCCTCCGTTATCTTCGACCTACAAAATCAAAATGAAAAAATTAGTATCGACAAATAAGGGTTAATTATTTGAAAACAAAAAAATTAGTAATTTTAATTTACTTACCATCATAAGCCGTCTTCCGGCAAAAGGAATCTGGCCGGAGGTGTGCGGAACGTTCTTCCGATGTTCCGCATCGTCAGTAGCGTAAATTAGTATGAAGTGAAGTGTGAAGTCTCTTGCGTCAAGCTTCCCGCCACAATTGAGCCTTCCACTTTAGCTAGGTTTTTGGCTTTACCTTTAAGATGCTTCATGAAATGCTCGAACGGATACATCCACCTGTACTGAACGGGTGTACCGAGCTCTGCTTCGTGTGGGAGATGAACAGGAAGATGTTCCATAACATCAAAAAATGATGGTGGGAAGATCTTTTCCAAATTGCACAACAAGATTGGAATATTCAATGCCAGTCGTGATATTACATCAACTGATAATGTTCGTGTACTAAGATCCTGAAAAAAGCACCAATGCCTCCAATAGCTTCATGGACGTTTTTGGGCAAGAGTTCAGCAAATGCAAATGGAAATAATCGTTGCATAAACACATGGCAGTCATGGCTTTTCATCCCAGCAAACTTTACCCCCTTCTCAACAGATTTGGAAAGATTAGAGACATACCCATCAGGAAATTTAACGTCAGAAGAAACCCATCTGAACAATGCTGACTTTTGATCTGCACTCAACCGAAATACAGGAACTGGTGCTTTCCCGTTTCTCAGTAGATGCAACTCACTTCTGTTGCATAAATCAGGCAAGTCCAATCTTGACTTATCATTGTCTTTTGTTCTTCCCGCTACGTTCATAATTGTATGCATGATGTTATCAAAAAAGTTTTTTTCAATGTGCATGACATCAAAATTGTGTCTGAGCAGATGATCTTTCCAATAAGGTAGTTGTCAAAAGATACTTTTCTTGTGCCAATTATGATGAACTCCATAACCTTCAGGCATATTTGCAGGAGTGTGCCAGTTTCCCCACGCGTTACTGTTTCCTCTGCCCTCCAATGATCGATTTGCGCCTGTATATCAGCTCCTGTTAAATTAACGGGTGGAGGGACATGTACACTTTTGTTCTTCATAAATAACCTCTTATTCCTCCGATATGGATGATTATCCGGTAAAAACCTCCAGTGAAGTGTTTCCATGCCTTTGCATCTGATGGATGAACAACTTCTCCATCTACTTGTGTATGTTCTGCATGCCATCTCATTGATGCAGCTGTCCTTTCAGATTGATAAAGCCGTTTTAACCTATCAGTTATAGGGAGATACCACATACGTTGGTATGGTATCCTTTTACGCCCACCAGTTTGCGGCCTGTATTTTGGTTTTTGGCAAAATCGACATTCCTCCAGCTGATTATCATATTTCCAAAAAATCATACAGTTGTCAACACATACATCTATCATCTCAGAAGGTAGACCAAGACTAAAAATCAACTTCTGAATTTCATAGTATGTTCCCGCTGCCAAGTTATCCTCCGGTAGATACTCCTTCAGAAGATCAGCCCAATCATCCATGCAAACCTCAGCCAGGTTATGATCTGTTTTAATTGACATCATCCTAGCTGCCAACGATAATTTAGACAAGCCTTCTCTACATCCTTCGTAGATTGGCTGATTAGCATTGTCTAACAAATCATAAAATCGTTTGGCATCTACATTAGGTTCCTCAACAGCATTACCAGTATGCGTTTCATGAAATGCATCAGTCACCATTTCGTGCATCCTATCATGATCTACACTTTGATCATATTGATACTGATTAGGCTGATGGCCATAATTCGATTCATCAATATCAACATGACTTTGATAATTACTACTACTACCAGCATTCCCATGAGTATTACTGCCATATCCTTCTCCATGTAGATACCAAACAAAATATTGCGGCATAAACCATCTATTTAATAAATGCGTCCACACGGTTTTGGTTAGTGTATACCTCGTATTCTTGCATTTCAAACAAGGACAAAACATCTTCCCACTATCTTTCATTCTCTCCATATTTGTAGCCTGAAACATAAATATATCTAACCCGTTCTTGAACTCTTCTGTCAACGCCCCATCTGAATCTTTACGCATATACATCCAACTTCTTAGCTCGTATATAGACATCTTGAAAATAAACTCAAAATAATATCTCTTTTTATTGATTAGACAATAAAGGAGGTGGTCTCTTGTGTCACGTCTAGCCACGTGAATGGAGTAAATTAACCTTATAATACTATTACTTCTTTTTTTCAAAGTAATATAACTCTTAATTCGGGTTTCCAACAATGGACAACCCAATATATAAGGATTTACAACACTATACTAAAATTTAAGAGAACTACAACGGGTCTCCAAGATGAAGATGCTCTTATGTTTGAATGATGATGTGTTGTGATTGAATGAAGGAATGAAGATCTATTTATAGGAAATTCGGGCTTTACAACGCTTTTACGACGACTTTTTACGACGGTTTTACATTCAACAATAATATTACGACGAGTTTACGACGATTATGCGATAAAATCTTTCATCTACAATTGTTAGGTAAACATGTTTTAAATGTTTTTCACCTAACTTTTTTTTCGACGTAAAATCTTCGTAATATGTACATCGAAATGCAGTCGTCGTATATTCGTCGTAATTTTGCATCGAATTTACGACGATTTTACATTTACTAGCAAATCTCTCGTTATCGATGTATAATCGTCGTAATTTGTCATAAATTGTACGTCGAGTTTACGACGATTTTTTTATACGACGGTGTTACGACGGTTTTAAAATTAGACGTAAGATCGTCGTAAAATCGTTGTAAGTTTGCGATGATTTAAAAACCGTCGTAATGGACCGTTGGAAGTTGTTTTCTTGTAGTGACATAGGCACAGAATCAGCAAAACACAGGCTTATAGAGTTCAAATTTTTTTTAGAAAGACACAAAACATCTAATTTAAACACTTTCTTCAACATACCAGGCAATGAATCATATTTCTCCGTATGTGACTGTTGAGTCCTTGACAGGATCCTGAATGACAACTTTCTTCTTCTTGGTTGGATCAAAGGGTGGGAGCTAAGGATGACCAAAAAAGAAAAATCATACAATCATGATTTATCCTCAAAAGTATATGGGTAACTTAATATATAAGAAAGATGATCCTTTTTCTCTTAAGAAAACAAAAACCCAACTTACTTCTTTCTCACTCTTCATCTCATTATTTTCAGCAGCCATTAAAGCTACCGAGGGAAAAAATATTGATAAAATAAGCACTCAGAAACAAAACATATGCAATAGCGATAGTATTATCGATTAAGTAAAAAGCTTTTTGTTCTACATCAGATCAATAATTGCCACGCAACGATAACATGTAAGTTAGGGTTTAAATAACTAAGAAGTTTCGATATGATAATATTTGCGACAATAAATGTAATTTATAATATAATTTAATTTAACTCAATTTTTATTTTTAATATCTTTTATAAAAATTGATTTAAAAAAATTTAAGAAGGGGCAAAGGGTAATTAGCCACTCTGAGATTGAATGAGAGAGCTTTAACTTAAAATTTTACTTCGTTTATAATATATATGATGATATATGATGATGATTAAAAGTATTTTGATTAAATTTACCTATATTATTTAAGAAAATATAAAAATAATAGAGGGCACGTCCGCCCCTGGTTTAAACTGATCTCACTGTTAATCTCTATACCATAATATGTGGAAAATATTTATAGAGAATTTTTGTGGGATTGAGATTTGAATGTAGGTAGGAAAGAAAATGAAGAACACAAACACAAAACGAGTTTAATATTTCATGAAACAAAAGTGCACACACAACATAAGCTTACACTTGAGGAGGGGCAAGCAAGTGATAAGCTTTGCCCTTGATGTTTTATTTGGAAGTAAAAGAAACTTGAACATAAACATACACACATGCAATGTCCTCACACCGAATGAGAACAGAAGTTACACTTGGTAATTACATTTCATGAGGTTATTTTAAACCTTCTTTTGGTAGCAATGGCAGTGTAGGTCGGATCCCTCAACGACCGCCCAACAGAGTGGAGGAATCGGGAATGTCTTTTTGCAACATTCACAGCAATCCAAGTCTGTACCTAGGAACGGCTCGTCCCCGCACTCGCCTAAGAACACACGCTTAGCCGGGTCAAGGCATCCACTTCCAGGTGGGCACTCCACCCCAGGCAAAGCCTCAGTCTTGAGGAATTCTGCATGTTGACATATTCTTCAATCAGCACAAGAATTAAAAGAGACAACTGCAACGTATAATAGAGAACAACTTAGTTAAATTAATTAAATACCGGTGGAAGCCATCGCGAGGACAAGCAAGAGAAGGGTGAAGCTGGCGGAGTTGAGATTCTTTGCCATTTCCTTTGTTTATTCTTTTTGTTTTTCTTGTCAATAAACTTTAGTCTGGTGAGACATCCATATGTGTCGTGATTCATTTATAGTTAAAATTTTGTAACTTTGTTATAATTGTTTAATGTCTCCTCTTTTCTTACAGGTTTTCCCAAGTTCATAATGTCGCCACAATTTTGCATTGCAGTCTTTTTCATTACATTTTATTTTCCAAGAATATTATTTTCTTAATTATGCACTCTTATTAACATAATGAACCAAAAAAGGTGGTCGCTGTCGTGTAGTTGTAACTCAAATTATATATCCAATTTTTTATATAGTTTTAATGAAGATATTGTTTTTAAATGAAATTGTTGTTGTCATCGATGAAGCCAGAACGAATCTTGGGCGACTATTTCATCCGATGAAGAAAACTATTTGGCTTTAATAACTCTTATTATTAATAAGCTTTAAGGTTAGCCACATGCAATGCAGCAATCATGGCGACACTATCTACGTATCTTTTGCGTATCTACGTATGCGTTACTTCTATGCATGCCTTCTGGTCTCATGGGGCCTTGGCGGCTTCACAAGAGTTAGAAAACTCAGCTTATTTTAAAAGTTTCACCAATTTTTTTTTTTGGCAAGGTATCTAATCAGCTATTGTATGCATGCCACAACGAAATAAAATAGGGGGTTTCTGGTATCATGGGGCCTTGGTGGCTTCACAAGACTTAGAAAACTCAGCTTACTTTTTAAAAGTTTCATCAATTTTTAAAAGCTATTGTAGCTCTTTCGTATACACAAACACATTCATACATGAATGAATATTCACATCCCTTTGAATGGAAGCCGGTCCGGGTCACTCGGATAATAAGGTAGACGTGTTTTGCTGCATAGGTAGTCTAAAGGGTAAAACAAAGTACACTGTAGTCTTTCGATTTTAGACTATTATTACGTGATTAAGTTTGAAAAGACACTAATCCAAACTTATAGTGGTTAGGAAAATGTTGTGTTGGGATTAGTGTAGATTACCTGAAAAGGTAAATCTCTAGATCTTGCGGTTCCACGCACATCAACAATGGTTGGTCAAAGGGATGTACTAAATTGTGATCCATTTACCATTGGAACAATTATGAGATCGATAAATTCCACTGCAATTTTGGACTAACTCTTAATTATTGGTCAGAAAAGATTGCTCCTTCCATTTTCTATTTGCCTTTTGATGAGAAGACAGGTTTAGAGATAGTATTAAGGGAATTGCTTGTTTGTCCTCACTCCATATATAGTTTCCTCAAATACAAGTAAATCAAATAGCTCGTTTCTGTAAATCCATACAAATCTTTGCAACCCATACCTTCCGATTTATGTTTTGAGATAGAATTTATAATAAGTCGATTTTTTTTAAAAAAATTTGTACTCGTTTAATTTATAAAAAAGACGACCAGTAGAAACGAAGATTGTTGCATTGACTACTACTGAAAGAATATTTGAACTTGAACCAAAAATTGTTTCTGTTAAATGAAATTACTAGGATTGAACAAATATATAATGCAAAAATAAGATATATAGCCGCAAGAAAATAACAATCACAAGAGCTATAATCATGAAAATAAGAAGGTTAATACCAGATGTAAGAAGAAGCTTTCTATAAGAATTATTGAGAGGACAATCAAAATAGTCGCCCAAGATTCATTCAATATACACTCATAAACAAAAGCTTCTCTTCTTCACCACACTCATATATTTAGTGACAACCGCATTACATTACTTGCATTCAAGCTTAAACAAAAGTCTTTCCATTATTGCATTCAAGCTTAAACAACGACAATTCCAACAACCGCATTACATTACTTGCAGACAAATTCCTAATAATTTTTTGTCACATCCGTAACTGTTTTAGGGACCAATTTGCTACGAATGTGTTCGTAGTTATTTTGTAGATAATTAGCCATGGATTTGCCAGCGAAATGCCACAAATATTAAGTTTTTGATCCATAGCTTATTCGTTGTTTTTTCATTGGTAATTAGAAAAAGCTACAGAATATTCGTGGCAAGGTCGTAGCTATAGGAGTCTTTTTTTAGTAGTGACAAACACAAACGAGTTTAGTATTTTAAACCTTCTTTTGGAAGCAATGGCAGTGTAGGTTGGATCCCTCAACGACCGCCCAACAGAGTGGAGGAATCTACTACTTATAATCGTTTTCCAAATTCTGTTTTCACCTTTGAACTTTTTTTGTGGCGAGGCTTTAATAGACTTGACATGCTGTCTAGATTGATTGGGTGTTCTTGATTTACTCATTTCATAGTGTAAAAAAAACAAATATATCCGTAGCTAATGTTTTGTCCTGAATCAGTATGATATAATTTTAATGAAATTGCTTTACTTTAGACATCCAGACATTGATTAAGGCAGGCAGATGAGTCGAGTTTACTTTAAATTCCAGACATGAGATGTAACAGAAAGGAAGGGAATTAATGGCTCATTTGCCATAAATTAAAGAGGAAAAGTCTGTATTGCCATAATGGAGTTTCAGTGTCATAATATGAGTGAAAATCCTAATATACCCTTAATAAAAATGATTTGTGGCATATATGAATTTTTGATTTTTTTATTGTTTTAATTAAAAGAGAAAAAGTAAAAGAAAACAGAAAATAATTAAAAGTTTAAAATATTATATTGATGTGCTCTCTCTCTCCTCTCTTCCTTTCTCTCTCTTCGAATTGCACATTTTCGTCGAGAAATTGGATTTGCTTCCCGATCCGAGCTGAATCTTGCGCTGTGGACTCGTGAGCCATCTCGCCGGGACGTATTAGCTACCGTGTCGTCCTCCTGTACACCACGACTTCGTACTCTGAACTCGAGTGAGCTCCTTGCGAAGCATTAGGTATGGTTTTGGGGTTTTCTAATTTTGGGGGTCGATTTATGAAATTTGTGAGTTTTAGCATGCACATTGGATATTTAAGACAACTATATGGGTCGATTTGTCGATGGTTGTTGGTGAATCGAGCTGAATCGTAGTGTTCTAGGTTGTGAATGATGAATCCGTGAGATTTGCGAGAATTGGGACAAGTGGTATAACTAAGAGTTTCGGGATAATTGGTACAACTGGTACAACTTAGATAGATTGGACAACTGGTACAAATGGGACAACCTATGATTATGGGACAACTGATACAAATGGTATAACTTATGAATATGGGACAACTGGTACAATTGGTAGAACTTAAGAATGTGGGACAACTGGTACAAGTGGTAATACTTATGAAAGTGGGACAACTGGTACAAATAGAATATATGTAGGACAACTGGTACAAATACTATTACTGACGTGGGACAATTGAGAGAAAGCTGACAATTGCCAATATTTTTATTTTGTTTTTTTGTATTTGCAGTAGAGGATGAGCAGGCCCACAAACATACATTTTGAGTATGGAAGATATTATTCACTGGAAAGAGAAGAGTTTAAATGAAATTCTAAAAATTCCATATAAGCTATATCATTTAGAAACTTATCTATGGAGGAGTTAACCTATTCGGTGCTTGTAGATGGTATATGCAAGAAGATTGGGTTGAACGACAGTATGAGAAAGCTGAAATTGAGCTATATTTCGTTGGTAGCTAAGCCTTTTAGGGAGTCATGTATTGTTGATGATGGTGATGTTTATGTGTATCTTACGACAGTGGATAAAGAGGGACTTAGATCCATTTTGAATGTGGAGCTAATGGAAGATATTGAGAGAGATAAGCGAGGCGAGTTAAGTGAAGAGCTTCCCAAAGCTAAGGACGTGCCTGATATTGAGGGACAACAGGGACAACAAAGAGACCAGTTGACTGTTTACAACCCGGAAGAAGCAGAGGGACAATAGGGACAACCTGAGAGGATGGAGAATGTTGATTTAGGGGTAAGCTGTGAAATTGCGTTACTAGAGGAGAATGTGGAACTGGATGAACCTGAGGAGTATGGCATGCATGAAGATGTAGATGAACATGATCATGTTGAGCCTCTACGGCCTGTGGAACAAACTCAGTTTGTTCTAGAATGGGAGGATGGAGCTGGGTTTGAAAAAGGTCAAGAATTTCGATCCAAGGAGGCTTTGCGAGTTTTGGTCGACAGAGCTTCACATAAGGGTTGTTTTGAGGTAAAAACGATAAAGTCGGATCCAGGGCGACTCATACTAAGATGCCGTCAAGCTGAACTTGGTTGTACATGGTATCTACACGCTGTACGAATTTTGGATTCAACTTATTTCAGTATTAGGGTGTATAGGAATATCCATACCTGCTCTCGGGTTGTTGCGAGCACAATTCGGAATAAAAGAAAAGGCACACCACAAGTAGTAGCAGATGTTTTGCATGGGTGCTATCCAGGTGAAGTAGACACCCCTGCGCCCAAAGCTTTGATTAAATTTGTTCAAAATGAAGCTCACGTGAATGTGTCATACTCTACAGCCTAGAGAGGGAAAAAACTAGCTATTAGTGAAGTGAGGGACAGTCCAGAAGAAAGCTATCGAAAGTTGTATTGTTATCTTTACATGTTACAGCTTGTTAATCCTGGGACAGTAACCAGTGTGAAACTGGATGCCAAAAATAAGTTTAAGTATCTCTTTGTCGCTTTGGGCGCTAGTATTGAAGGCTTTAGAGCAATGAGGAAAGTCATAGTTGTGGATGCGACCTTTCTTAAGAGTGTGTACAGTGGTATGCTAGTATTTGCCACAGCGCAGGATCCAAATCATCACCATTATCCAATTGCAATGGGTGTTATTGATAGCGAGAAATATGCTAGTTGGAAGTGGTTTTTTGAAACACTCAAAACTGTTATACCTGATGAAAAGGAACTGGTTTTTATGAGTCACAGACATAAGAGCATCATTGGAGCAGTGAAGGAGGTGTACCCTGAGTCTCAGCATGGATATTGCATTTGGCATTTGTCGCAAAACGTGAGAGGGAAAGCTGGGATTGGCTGCAAAGATTTGTGTGCAGTCAAATTCAGAGAATGCGCTCACAAATACACTGAAAGTGAGTTCCTATGTACGTACACTGATTTTAAGATATGGTTTCCAAAAGCTGCTGAGTAT